TTTTTAATATATACATTAATATATTTTATATTCACGGCATGCTTGATTTCGTTTTGTATTATTATTGTGAAGGAGAGCCATACGTCAATAAAGTAAAGCTGGGGTACAAATATACGAATCCCAGAATACCCATCCTAAACCCCGATCTGATGAAGTACAGTCATCACAGGCGAGTAATATGGTGGCAGATTTTGATAAAGGAAGAGAGACTATTTTAAATAGTTTAAATAGGTAAATACGATTTTAAGCTTATTTTACCGGTTTCGCTAAAATAGAACCCAAGGCTATTTTGCCGGTAAATATTTTTATTATCATGAAAGCAGGTAATGTTAAAAATAACAACACAAGTTTAACACAGTTTATTTATTTTCACCATTAATTGTTAAAACAATTTAAAATCTTTTCCGCCATCAGTTTTTAAAACAAAATTTAAAATCATTTATTCATCATCAATTATTAAGAGAAATTTACAAGTATCTGAATATTTTAAGCACATAACAGATTCTGCGATCCAAAGCTTGCCTTTGGTCATGGTTCTTTTGCCAATACACTTCAGGTGAACCCTCTGAAGACAACAGGAACAGACCACAGAATCCATTTTTCAAGTTTTGCCTACACATCTCACACACACACTGACAATATCAAGGCGTCATAAACATTATAAAAAAACATTATATGTCAGATCCAACCACAACAAGGATTCTTCTTCTTCTTCTTCTTCTTCTTCTTCTTCTTATTTTTCTTCTTCTTCAAAATGTTGTATTTTTGTTATCTCTCCTAAACCCCGCTCTTCATTCAAGTTACTTAAGCTAGCTGGCTAAATTACGCATTGTTTTCCTCTCTCCTACCTGCCACCTTTCGTCATAATGTGCCAAATCAAAATGTCTCTTTCTGTTGTTAAGTATAAGTGTCCTTTATGTTTCAATTGACTCGAAAACTTCGCCGTTGCTCACATGCGCGACCCATCATATTCTCAGCATCCTCCTGTAGAACGATATTTCTGTTGCTTCAAGACTCTTCATAATCTCTGAACAGACAGCATCCGCTGTCATATGAGTTAACTGCTATTCTGTAACAGTTCAATATTCATTTCTTTGTTTTTAATCAAACGTTTCTCTTTCGCAGAGATGTTTTTTTTCATTTAATACTCACTCATGTCAATCAGTGTACAAACCTTTTCTTTTCTGTCTTTGACAATAATATCTGGACGATTATCATTATTATTATTATTGGTTATGTTGCTGTTATAATTTCAGTGTACTTGCAAATTTACATCATATGTTTGCTGGTGATCAAGAAAAAATAAGAGCTAAATCCCCCAAACCATTTTCGATATCTTGCACAGTCACGTCCTTTCGTGAAACAGTTAACTCATCAGTTCTTTTTCAACGGTTCCAAAATCGCCATCGATTGTGTGTTGTAGCATACCTACGGACTATAATGGGTATGTCCCCATTCACATAAATACAGTAGTAAATACTGTATGTTGGTCTGGAGTCGGAGATTCATCTCCAGCTGTGGTGGTCAAACTCTCTGCCTCCGGAGAGATAGGATCCCCAGACGAAGCAATGACGAAGGGCAGAGTCTCATCTCAGGAAACAGCTACTCGACCCCGTTTTAGACGGGGTCTACGGGGAAATTTTGACCGAGCCTACGGGATCGGATATCCCACATTAAATTCAGCCTTGTGCCACATCTGACTGCGTGGGGCGGTTGGTAGATATCCTGCAGTTGGAGATACATCGTGGAATTCACTTGACTCACTTCTAATTTTGTTCAATTAATACAGTTGTTAGGTAAAATCAAACGGAGTGATTTACAGTATACGGACTTGTTCAAAATAAATTAAATTTTAGTTTATTGACTATACAGAAAAAAAAAACAACAGTTGTCAGTAACAAAAATGACCGCTCTTCAACCTTTTTTTTTAAATAAATAGGCATCAAAAACTTAGTTCTATTCACGGGAAAACTAATAAATCGGAATAAGATAGATGGCTGCAGAAAACACAGAAGAAATCTCTATTGGCATGTGATATTGCATGATCAATATTTCAGTTACACGAGTTATATTTGGAACTGAGGTATATTTTCTAGGGTGTTATACCGACATAGATATATCTATATGTTTTGCAGTTTTTCTATGTTATTATAAACTGTCAGATTCGCTTTCTCTGGCATAGACAGTGCATTGTCTATCTGGACGTCAATATTCCAATGCATCTTATGGTTTTTATTTCTTACATCATTCTGGTTTGTGCTGAGTCTAATGGTCGAACTATAGTCGTTTGTACAGCTCCTAGTAGGTAACTGAAAAAACGAATGAAAATAAACAACGGGTTTGAATATGTCACATTGTTAATTTTTTTTCTATTGTTAAGATTGTTATCTGATATTCTTCCTATTCTGCTGATTCAGTCTTCGAATTTCTTTTTATCTCATTATTATTGTTATTTGATATTCTCTTCAGCTCTTGGATGCTTTGGTCTGGTGATAATGATTATATCTCAACTCCCACTCATGGCTTTGAAACAAAACACTGTCCTTCCCTATTCCAACCAGCGTTGCCACTTGCGAACTGCCAATGCCATCAGGTATCACCAAGGCGTACGGCGAGACAGTAAGATTCCTGGAAGTTGTCCAGAACAGCTTAAACAGCTACTTGATATATTTCTCTGATTAGGTCTTGGTACCTCAGTATTTTCGCCTGTCCTGCCATGACAATGTTCTTATCCTAAGCTTCTGCAACATTATTACGACCAAGATCCATTAATGGCTGATCTTATGCACAAGTGTGATATAAGAACGATTTCTCTTTAAGTGCTTGTCAGTAAAGATGGCCGTGTAAGCGTTACTTGCTCATTAGCGGCTACTGACAATTGTGAATGATCGTACATTTTCTCTGCCTATTATTATTAATTATCTTATTATTATTTTGCTTGTAGCGCCCTTCCTTAGTTAGGATGTACCATAAGTCCTGGCAATACCTCATAAATAATGGATTATTCCATTTTAATGACATGGAAAGACGGAAAAGACATATAAGAGACGTTACTTAGTTTCAGTGAAAGAAAGAAAGAAAGAAAGAAAGAAAGAAAGAAAGAAAGAAAGAAATGCCTGGCAATACCTCCAAAATAATGGATTTTTCGGTTTGACCGTGAGGAAAAACGGAAAAGACATATAAGAGACGTTACTAAGTTTCAGTGAAAGAAAGAAAGAATGAATGAATGAAATGCCTGACAATACCTCCAAAATAATGGACTTTTCGATTTGACCGTGAGGAAAGACGGAAAAGACATATAAGAGACGTTACTAAGTTTCAGTGAAAGAAAGAAAGAATAAATGAATGAATGAATGAAAGGCCTGACAATACCTCCAAAATAATGGACTGTTCAGTTTTGACCGTGGGGAAAGACGGAAAAGACATATAAGAGACGTTACTTAGTTTCAGTGAAAGAAAGAAAGAAAGAAAGAAAGAAAGAAAGAAATGCCTGGCAATACCTCCAAAATAATGGACTTTTCGTTTTGACCGTGAGGAAAGAAGGAAAAGACATATAAGAGACGCTGTTCGATTTCAGTCAGAAAACAAGATAGAAATCAACATCCAGACAGGATTTTCACGGGTACAACTGATCTTTTAAAAAAAACAACGGATCTAAGACAATGACGTATCTTCTCACAGAACTTAGCAGAAGAAGGAAAACGCGACATCGAAATCCGAAGACGCATTGGAATATCGAAAAAAGCTTAGCAAAATATTACGAAACAGGAAAAGTTTAGGAAAACAAAGACTGTTAAACTGTTTTACAATATCGACCCCTTCGTTTATGGCGATCAATATTGGACAATCTCCTCAGAGATCTGAGGCAACAGAAATGTGGTTCTACAGAAGGATACTGAGAATACGATGAACTGAACATATTAGCAACGACGAAGTTTTAGAGAAAATTGAAACATAAAGGACACTTATACTTGAGAAAGAGACAGTTGAAATTTTTAGTGTACATAATGAAGAAAGAGGTCTGCGAGAATTTGATACTCACAGTACTTACTGAATACAAAAGGGACAAAGGAAAGCTAGTGAATAACTTAATGCGTGTATAAATGGTTGGCAGGATAGGGACCTGGATTGCTCGTAAGAAGACAAGAGCTTTAAAGAACAGGAAATTGTAAAGAGCGATGCTTGACTACGATCTGAAGGGACACGGGAAATAGATAAAGAAGAAGCAACATAGTCTAAATGAAGAAGGAAAAACAAAGTGCACCTCTGTCAGAGAAAAATGAGAAAAACCAATAAACGAACTCAAAATTGCAATGTCAGGCAAAGAAAACTTTCTTTTTTTTAACGCCATATTAAACTCTACGTGTTATTTTATAACGAAATCTAAATATTTTGTACGCAATTTTGCTTTTTGAGATAAGGATTTCAGTTTTTTTAAAGCCTGGTTCACCCTATACAAGATCCGGGGCCACTCAAGGTAGCGGGTAACGTTTGAGGGATATTTGTGTGTATGTACATGGAAGATAACGGTAAACCCTGGCCATGAACAAGTTAAGATCGTAATGATCGAGGAAATATCCTGTTGGGAGTTGGTTCCACAGGGAAGTGGTTCGCGGTGAGAAGCTACTCGAGTGGAACTTACTTCTTAACGATGGAATACGGAGAGAATGTGGCTTGTTTGTTACTATTTAAGTGGCATGGCGTGTTCTTGACGTGAAAGTCTGCCTCGTCAGGACCAGGGAATGAAATTCGTCCAATCACCATCCGTGGAAGTAGTGGTAGAACAGCCAGAGGCTTGCCATATCCCGCTTGTAAAGGTTGAAAGGTGGAGAATAATTATACACGTCTTACTAATTAACCTATAGCCAGGGAGAGATGAGGTGGAGTCATATCTTTGTATTTGCGCGTAAGTGAATATAGCAAAGACAACGGAAATTTGAACCCGTCTCTCCGATTAACAATTCTGAGCCATTATCACTTACATCGCCGGCGCATCCAAGCTTACAGCACCAGGTATTCCCAAGCGGTCACCCATCTAGGTACTGACCAAGCTCAACGTTGCTTAAACGGTGATCGTACGGGAAAATATGTTTTAACGTGATTTGGCCGTAAGCCAGCCCCAGAAAAGAACCAATAAGCAGACTCTTTCAAGCAAGAACAGTAGAAAAGCGATATTCAAAACATAGACTGCTAAAAATAACTCATAAATAAAGTAAATGGAAATTAAAATACATCTTAGCTGAAGTACTTGATTTACATTGATGCAAGAATAACAACAAAAATTCGTAAACCACAAGAGAATGATAGCCATTCTGTATAACAAAGCAAGCTGATAAATGTGACTTGAAAGCAAATTTCAAATATACAGGAAGTTGATAAATAGTTAAATGACATGTCGATATAAAGAAACCTAATATATAAACCGAAGTAAATATAGAATAAAACAGATAGTATTGTCCGTGTTGTAGTCGAAGAAGAACAACAAAAAAAAAAAAAATTGACCGATGGAAGGGGACTAAAACAATAAACCCGGCAGTAAAGAAACAGAGAAAAGTAAAATCTTTTGAAAACTACGCATTTGAAAACTAAACAGTTGATTTATTAGTAAAAACAAATGCTATCAAGATTCAGTGGGAAAACATCGAAACTTATATATTCTTAAAAACACGTTAAAAATAACCAGTTGGAAAATAGCAGGCTATATGAAATCTATAAATATTAGTAGAATAAATCGATAGATATATCTCGTAATTTTACCTGAAGAAGAAGTAAATCTTACAGATGCGGCACAACTCAGTAAATATTTTTCTTCAAATAAGGCATTTGAATAGGGAGTATGTAAAATATGAACCGGGTTTTTGTTTTTAATTATTTTTAGTAAAGTAAATCGTAAAGAAATATGAATTCTTTATAAAGTAAATTGAAACATAAAAATTAATTTAATAAAATATGTTTTTAATTATTTTTAATGGAGTAAATCGTAAGGTAATGTATTTTTAAGAAAGGAAATCGACATTCTAAAATATCTTTATGAAAATAATTTACGATTTACTTTATTAAAAATAATTAAAAAACAAAAAGAACTTGTTCATATTTTACATAATGTCTTTTCAAATGCCTTATTTAAACAAAAATATTCACTAATTAAAGCTTTAATTCTTAATAAATTACTTTTATTCGGTTATAAAAAATTGTTTTTCTGGTGCTGAGTTGTGTCGGTCTCGAGTTATCCCGGCTTTCAGTCGGTGGTGTTCAGTTGATGGCGTGGAGTTGGCGGTGTTGAGTTGCCCTTTCCTAACATCTTACAATAGGTGACTTTTATCCAAATGCATTGTGACAAAATGCACACTGAGGATTTGCTTACCATTCAAAAGCAGCAGGTGAAGTAGGTAATGTGCCATTCTTTAGAGCAGTGAATTACAATCAAAAGGAAATGATCGTAGGAGAACGAAAAGTTCAAATGATTACATCAAGTGATTTTGAAGCAAATTCATTGTGGCGAAAAACAGCGAGAAGAGTTAATTATAGACAAGTATATCCGTGGACTCTCTAATGGATTAAGATAGTCAAGATTATCGGAACAGTAGAACAATTAATGAGGAACTGAAAAGTGAACTTGACACTCAAAGTAGAATTTGACCAAATATGTCAAAAGATATATTCCAGTAAGAATACCTGACTCGCCTTTTGTTTCTCGTATTCAGGATTTGCTACTGACAATCATTGTGAAGTAAAATAACAATTTACGATGAGGACGAGAAAATCATCTCCAGAGAGGATCTTAAAGTATTGCAAAAGAGATAATTGAATTAAAAGAAATGATTAAAAGATGAATTATTGCGAGCACGTAGCTGTTGGGATTTGCTATAGAAAAATGTGCTGTTGGTGATGAAAAAAAAATGCACGTAACAATTGATTGCCGGGTAATAAATCACTTAAAGCATTAAACACAAATGGCCGCTAGATATGCATTGAAGGACTTGAATACGATTTCATTGAAAAAAGCAAACGAAGGTACGGATTAGACTAACCAGTAGAAATTGAATTCAAAAAGAGTGAACACATGAGCTTATATGTAGAGAAAGGGATAGCTGAAATTTCTAGAACGCCTAATGAGGAAAGAGGGCTCGGAGAACTCACATGACATAATGAAGTCAAGAGGGACAAAAAAAGCAGGGAATAAGCTAAGGAGATTGTGTAAATGGTCAGCAGAACCGGAATTGGCGGGGGGATGTTAAAAATACAAAGCTTAATAACATATACAAAGAAAAGGAAGTCATGGAGAACCATGTTCTGAAGGGATATCGCACAAAGAAAGAAGGAGGAGGAGGAGAAAGAGAAAATGAACAAAATATTATTAGAAAATGAGCAATCGCATTCCTATTTTGTAAAATAGACGGACTTCAGTCGTGTGTACTGGTGTGCCAGAAATTTACCGACGATACCTACGCAAGAATGAGAAGGGCTTACAGTCATATCACGTTGAAATACCTGTTCTCGTCTTACCACCTAAGTAAAGTATCGTAGAACTTGGTCAGAAACTAGATGAGTGACCGCTCAGAAATACCAGGTGCTGTAAGTTTGGATGTGCGGAAGGGGCAATGAATAACGACTTAGAATAAGAAATTGGAGAGCCAAGTTCGAATTTCAGTCGGGTTCGTTATATTCAATTACATGCAAATACCCTTGGAAAAGTTATGAATCCACTTCTTCTCCTTCCCGCTATGGGTTAAATTGTAAGACTTGTGTAAGAAAATTATAATCTCAAAAAATATTGGACTATGAATAACCTTAAAAAGGTTGATAAACCGTAAAAAAACAATCACTCAAGACTGAGAAGTCATACGAGCAGATTCTACCTACAGTGAAAATCAGGAGAGAAGTAACCCTGTTTGGTTGTGCTGAATCGGCTATAATTGAAATTGCATAATTCATACAGTAGACCAGAGAAGAAATCATGGCAATTGCACTTAATCGTAAAGCAAATAAAACAAAGAGGAGGAAATTGAAATTACGTGATTAATACGAATGAAAGAAGACAGACGAGAACTTAAAAAAATAAATAAAAATTACTGCATACCCGAATATGTTTACACGAACTAGACTTGATTGAATGTTTCGTTGTTATGGCTTATCAACCCTTTACAGTTTATTTAAAGCCAGAATATATTTTTAGATTCCAATAATTGGGAGGAGGTAATAATGGGTTAGGGATAAAAGTCTTACTAATTAACCCCATAGCTGGGAGAAGAGTTTGATTCATAACTTTCCCAAGTGTATTTGCGCAGTAAGTGAATATAACGAACCCAACCTTTATAGTACTTGTTCGGATGAGTTCTTCGCTATGGTACCTAGGTATCATGAATTTAAGAGCAGTACTAGATTGGCGTCGATATCTCATCAATTTACAGCTGAGCTGGCTAGATGTAACTGTAAATTCTATGCTAACAATTTCTTTTATCACACTTCTCGATTGTGGAACTCCCTTCCGGCTACATGATTTTCCAGCCAACTTTAATCTGCAAAATGTTAAATGTCAATCACTACCTAAAGAGTGTACAATAACGTATCAGCCTCAGAAATTTCGACTGAAGTCTTTAACAGAGTGGAACCTATGAGAATATTTTGATGGTAATGACAATTATTCGTTTCCTTATAAGGAAACATTCAGAATTCATTGACCGAGTAGTTGGAATTTATAAAATCTTTCTATGAAAAGAATTTGTCAGGAAAAAGAGTTTTTTTTTAGTCCAGTTACTGTTATTGCTTTTTCCAGTATTGATGGGGAAATCGTTCTTAACCTTTTCTCTGAAGCGGTTTGGAACGTCAGCATGCCATTGTTTTTTCTTCAATTTGGATGTCCTATGCATTTTAGTTGTTGCTGTTGTTGAAAGACTTCAAGTGATGAGGTTTATGTTATTTGGTACGGTTCTTTATTTGTGATTCTGTGGCATCAGTTTAAGAGATACGATGTAGAATGGTCCGCACTAACACCTACATGGTTCATTCGTTGGACGCCATTTTTAATCATAGATGTTTTAAATCTCAGGGAAAGTTGAGTCTTCTTTTTGATGATATGCATCTGGGGCAAACTTGAGATGCATCGTTCTTACACATAACGTAAATCTTGCGCGACTGTGTAGAGTGAATGGGGCTGACCTGGAGTGGCACTTAGATGTCGGTTAGGTACAGGATTTTGTCCTATCAGGATTTTGCCCCGATATTAGGCTAGTTTAGGTTTTTTAGTTTGAATCTTTAGTTTCCTGTTTCTGGTTAACTTAGCTAGGGTATGCATGCTCATCGACCCGTTTTATTTCTGTTCCTATTTTTCTTTTGTTTAATTCCCCATCCTCTCCCTCATTAGGTGGTCAGTGATGTCAGTTCTCTGGTTCTTGCGGGATGACTTTCGTTTCGTGTGTGTGTTTTCGAATTTTTTATTGTGTCTAAATGAGTGCGTGTTTGTGGGCGTGTTTGTTTTTTATAATGTTATAATCCCGCAATTATTTCGTCCAGTTAACTGATGTTTCTGCCACATTTAGGGATTGTGGGAGGTTTTATTACTAACTCTATTTTGTTTTTTTTTGTGTAAATAGTATTAAATCATATTGTAAATAATCATTGGGGTTTTTAAATTGTTGTTTTTTTTCCCCTCCCCCCACAGACTTCGAAATGTACATATGGGGACTAGTTAGGATTTCATAGATAATTTGAAGTATTATGGTGGACGCAGTAAGAAAGGTAGGAGTGAATGTGTTGTTTTGGTGATAGGAATATTGTTGATATGTTTGGGTCCGTGTCTGTGACTAGCTAAGTTTAGAATTAAGACAGAAGAAGACCGTCCTTCCATACTCCCTTTCTGGCCTTGTGCCACATTTTGTACCAACGTACGAATAAATAACTATTTCCATGAAAAGTGTCCAGACGAACTACATTCTTAGTTCCACCAGTTCTCACATCCACGACTAACATCTGCCATGACCCGCACATGTAGCGAAACAACTTCATCTCATTCTCTTTGTATTGTATTTTATTGGTAACATAAAGGATGTTCCAGTAATTTGGACCGATTTTAAATGTGAATTAAGTTTAAGCGTCTAATGATTTTTTCTTTG